CGAAATGCTGAGATGCTCAGCAATCTTAAAACACATGTTTGATTTTTTTGTATTCACTTTCTACTTCCATTTGTTATTATAAACATTACTATTATACAATTATTTTTTTTACACTTAACAGGATCTAATAACCCACTAGGAATTCACACCGAGCACAGAATGGGCTGTGATTATGTCTGTTCATATTACAGTAAAACCTCCCAATAATAAATAGTGGAAAATCTGTTTAAGAGAAACCTCGAGATAGTGGACACGAATTTGGTCGGAGCGAGTCCAATATTGTGACGTTTCACTGGATTTACATCAGAGTCACACTTTTCATATTCGCAATCAAAATTCTACACAGTGAAATCTCGGAAAAGTTAACTCACAGAGAAGTGAAGCGAATTTTAACTCCAAATGAATTCCTTAAAAAATTAATTACTCCGTGTTTTAGGCCCGTGCTTGTTGAAATGTTCTTTTGTTTGTATTTTCTTAATCTTTTTTACTTAGAAATGTATTGAAAAGAATATAAACACTCGAATCAATCAGTTGAACTCTTCAAACGTTGTAAGTAATTCTCATCCGTGTTCTTGATTTGGCTACTTAGATATAAATGTAAAGTCGTCCTTAAGCACAGCTGCATACGCATACGTATTCAGAAGTGTCTATAGAAGTAAAAAAAAATGTAATTCTTATTACCTACTTATTACGCATCTTATTACAAAGTAATAAGATGAGTAATAAGTAATAAGTCCATCTTATTACAGTAATAAGATTGTAATAAGTAATAAGTTACTTATTACTTTACTTTACTTCTATAGAAGTGTCTGCCCGGCGATTAATAATTGCTAAAATAACCCGTACTCTCACTTGTGTGACGACATAATCGATACATTCGGCTGGGTGCAATAGTTATAATATAATTCTAATCAATAAATTAGTCTTTTTTACCGCCTCAAACTGTTCGCATTATGAATAACCCACTAAATGAATGCACACTCTAAAGTGTATCACGTGCGGCGTTTCTGGTGTCGCTTGTAATCTTCTTAAGTTTGACACTATCTTTCTTCATTCGTTTATGAGATATGTACAACAGTTCCATCATAAAGTTGAATTTAAAGCAATTAGAAATAACAAAGAGGCAAGGAATTTCTTCGCTATCTATTTAGCTATATTCAATGTTTTACACCGAGCACAAAACGAATTATCATCAGAGTAATGCTTTTCATATTCGTAATGAAAATGCATTTTCATCGTTGTATTGGCCAAAGTGTCAGGTTCGGCCTCTAGAAAATTTGAGCGGTAGTTTGTAATTAATAATGACATCTGAAGAAATTATTTGTATCAGTAGAATATACATAAAGATATGACTTTTATCTTGTACAGAAGTCATATCCACGCTTACTCACTATTGTATTTATCACAAATACATGAAAAGCCCCACATCTTTGCTCATTTGCGTTTCATTTGTTCTATCTTTTTTGCTGTTCTTGCTGCTACATTAACTCAGTCATACGCCCATTTTTCCATTTATCAAATGATGAGCTTGGAATGAAAATGAGACTTTCGTCGCTCAATAAACAGATACGAAACAAAAATAAAGCAATCCATTAAAATGGAACATGGAAAAGAAATCCGTAAGAATGAAACATAGCATGTGCCGTTTTAAGTATTTCGCTTTGCGGTGTTCCGTTTTAATAGATTTTTTGTCTGCAGTGTCGTTATGAACGAATCCTCTCGCATTGTTTCATATGAATGGATCTGTATCACATTGTTTCGTTCCTCGAATATTTTTTCGTGTGTTTCATTTCAATTGATTCCCGAGCTATTGATGAAGTCACTCGCATTTATCACATGATGCAAATTAAGTGATAAGGAGCCCGAATTTCGATGTGGCGATAACACCAATGGATTGGGCAAAAAAATACTATATGAGAATCGAAAAAAAATTAAACTTTTTTTTTCGATTTTTGCCTCTTTCGGATCGTCCACATGGGAAGTTTGTATGAAAACCTCGGAGCGCCGGTGTTTTACCCTTATTGTTATACGCATCAACAAAGCAGTCTGCTTCACCGTAGAAAAGAAGAGCGCAGTAAGGAAACAAGAACGTACATGTTTTGGCAACGTGGCTTCACTAGTGATTATGAATGAACGTAATTTCTCGTTACATTTCTCATTAGGAACGAAACAATGTGATACAGATCCAGTGATATGACACAATGCGAGAGGATTCGTTCATAACGACACTGCAGACAAAAAATCTATCAAAACGGAACACCGCAAAGCGAAATACTTAAAACAGCACATGCTATGTTTCATTCTTACGGATTTCTTTTCCATGTTCCATTTTAATGGATTGCTTTATTTTTGTTTCGTATCTGTGTATTGAGCGACGAAAGTCTCATTTTCATTTCAACCGCATCATATTTGATATGACTGTATTGGAGTACTTATATACATAGGGACATTTGTCAGACGAATCAGTTAGAATTGTGCACACGATCTAGTCCAAAGCACAAGTGAAATTCCATATTTTATCCGTATTTTAACTGATAACACAGCATAGTTCCTTGAAATTGAGCGAAATGCATTTTGCTAAAATAGCTACGTTCTTGTTTTTTATCGTGATGTTAGTTCTCTGTTTGGCGGTGGATGACCAACAAAAAAAGCCAGGTATTTAATTATAGTTGAAATATTTCTATTCGATTCAACGGAATGTGTGAAGTGATCGTTTTTTGCCCTCACTTTAGATAAACCACGTCCAATCGGTGATATCCCGAAGAAAAATTCTAGTGTTGCAATTTGGGCAGGACTACCGCCGAGGAAAAGAAACGGATAACATGTGCATACTGTATCATCTAAAAAATAAACAAACTGACCACCTTTTTGGAAGAAAAATAAAAACATATTTCGAAATTTCGAGAAAAGCTTGTTGTTCTTTTTCATATGCAAAATCAACAAATTAAGAGAATGAGAATGAATAGAAAACGTAAAATCTCCACGGAAAATACGCGCCTCGAACCTACACCAAATGCCGAGTGTCGACGCCTCATGTGTAGCAAGACAGCAATGCGGTACTAATACATGCGCGCGACACTGAACGAACATATCGCCGAATACGCATTCGTATACACTTCGCGCGCGACACTTACGAAGTGTGTGCGTATATGTATTCAGCGGTATGTTCGTTCAACCTCGCGCGCATGTATTAGTACCGCATTGCTGTCTTGCTACATGTTATACATATATGTCGTCAAGCGACACTTCATCATAGTGCGGTAAAGCGTGAAAAGGGGAAATGCGACGCCAACTCGACACCTCGTCACAGAGTTCGTTCTCATATACACGTATGTTTTCCCCTTTTCACGCTGCGGCCTTTGAGCGCCTTGCGCATGTATAAGGTATACCGCATCGCTGTCTTGATACACATGAGGCGTCGACGCTCGGCACTTGGTGTCGGTTCAAGGCGCGTATTTTTCGTAGAGAATCGAAAACTAATTGTGAATAAAGATGTGTGTGACATAAAACTTGATATTCACATTTATTTCATACTGTTTGAGAGGCATTTCAATACATAAAAGGGAATTGCTGCTAAAATCGCATAAGAACCAACAAAAAGGTAGCCGAAACATAATGGAATTACAAATAGATGACTTAACAATTCCTTGAGAGTTCAAATATAGAAATTGATAATTGCGGCTCAAGAGTTGTGGTTTTTTTGGCGATTCACTTGAAATGTGGAAAAATATCGTTTTAGTGAGATGAAAATAATTTTCGTTGATAACAGGAATCAGAACGTAGATTGAATTGCAACGAATACCATTTTCGAAAATCGCAAGTGGCTGGGCCTTGAAAATAGAGATAAAATCATTACGTCGTGCTTTTCGAACAAAGAGTAAATTGTAACGTCGTACTACAAAATAAAAGTTGTTGTCTCGCACATTGAAGTTTTGAATGCACGATGGTAGAGGACCCCAAAACAAACAATTCTGCATTTTTACTTTCTCCGTGACACGTCTGAATAAGAAAAATATCGACTTTGGTAAGCTCTAAGGTAGCGCCTATCAACATATCACAGTGAAATTTGGTTTAGAGCTCCAAAATTATGGTAGAAACCTACATTACTTGAAAGGTGAGACCTTTCTATAAATTTTTATACCCTATTCATCAAAATCGGTTGGGATGTTCGCGAGATATAGCACAAAATATGTTTGAACTCACCAAAACTGAGAAATATTAAACTTTGCTCGGCGACTATACTTTCTTGCATATAAAACTGCATATTGGAATCTAATTTTTTTCATAAAAAAAAACTAATCCATACTTAATTTGAAGCCAATTGGATGAAAAATTAGGGTATCTCTCGAACAAATGTTCGATTTTTGTTCGAAAAATAGCCGAATTTATTCGAAAGGTACCCTAATTTTTGGCTATTGACGATTTTTCAGTAAGCTCAAATATATTTTGTGCTACATCTTGCGAACCTCCCAACCGATTTTGATGAATAGAGTATAAAAATTTATGGAAAGTTCTCACCTTTCAAGTAATGTAGATTTCTACCATAAATTTGGAGCTCTCAACCAAATTTCACTGTGATATGTTGATAGGCGCTACCTTAGAGCTTACCGAAAGCGATATTTTTCTTATTTAGACGTCTTCCCAAGAAAGTAATGATGCAGAAATGTTTGTTTTGGGGTCTTCTACCATCGTGCATTCAAAATCCCAATGTGCGAGACAACAACTTTTATTTTGTAGTACGGTGAAATGGATGAATAAAATATGATTCATATTTTAAGAATTTGAGAAATTGCATTGAACAAACTCGCTCAATTTTCAGAAAAGGAAAAGGAAATGAAAGTTGAGATACTAGCCGAAACAAAGATAACACATAGACATACCTCAGATAACAGCGCTTTATTTTTGTACTATTCTTTGTGGAACAAAATTTTGTTGTTGTTGAAGTATTCGAATAAATTGTAACTTAATCTAACTAAATCAGATGATTCCAATCATTTCGATGTATAAGTTCAGAATTGTTTTACAATAAACAAATGTCAAAAATGTAAGAAGACATTAACATTCACTTCTCACTGCTTGCAATGTGGAAACAATGACATATGAATGTTTTTTTGGAGCTCTAGAAACTAACATGGATATGAGAAATTAAGATCCGAATTTCAACGTTGTTTGACATCAGTGACAAAATGTTCGGGCGGTACCCAGCTTGCATATGATGAAATGGAGCCATTTGGACTAGAATTTCCAAACCAAAAATGCCACCTGAATGAAGAAGGCAATTGAAAAATGAACAATCATTTCGAAATGGATTACATGATACAAACCTTTTTTTGATCAAATGAAGAACGCTTGGCTTCAGCACGAATAATCCAAATGTAAACACACCCATTAGAGCATTGCACTTGTCCAGTACCTGTGCAATTATTTCATATTTACCCCCCTCGACATACGTTAGAATCACCTCAATTATTTCAATAATCCAATTTAGGCCCATCACAACTATCAAGCGTAAATAGATTGCGAAACTGAAAAGAATCCGATTTTGCAACAAAGAGATTAGATTGAATTATACATCAATAAAATCAATAGAGATGAAATCAATTGAGTCACCTATGTGTATTCGTGTTGAAGTTGACCGGTTGCATTGAATTTTCATCATACGATGATGCTTTGGTTAGCTCATGTCTCACTGAGCGTATTTTCAGTGCCGTCAAAATGAAGAAGACAATGTTCATCGCGAATGTGATGCATAATGGCAAAAACAAGTACACTATTCTGGGGATTACCTCAACTAAATATAACATAGATGTATATTAATCATTGAACAACCGTCAACCGTTTGATTTTCCATGCAAAATATTCGATATTGGTGGGAAATGGCTTAATATGAAATATATATATATATTACATACTTGTCGTAAAGCAGGTTCCTTTGCCAAGTTTAAGTTGCAGTGATTTCGGAACAAAATCAATTTGGTCAGCCGAAAATGCAGCGAACGTCATAAGTGTCGACAAACCCCACGCAAAAATCATGTACAAATAGAATTGGTTTTTATCTGAGGTAAATCTGTATTTGACGGTGGCTCTATATAAGGGCGAAATTTAATTATTCAAAGTAATTTCGGTAATAATTGTATTTGAATATTAATTTATTTCATTCACATGGAGGTGAACAACAGAATGTCTGAGTCAGAAACCCGAGTCAAGTACGAGACACTCACCCAAGACTGTTCCATAAGTCAGAGCTTATTACACTTGTCCATAGGAATGCCGATATAAACGAAAAATAGGCGGTGTATGCGTATGCAGTGCAAAAGGGAGTGGGAATTTCGTTACGGGTACTGATTTTTGCTATAGCCAGTGGGACGAAAGCCATTGTCAGACTCAACAAATAGCAGAGAAAACATTTTCCGTGTAAATTTCTCAATTCGGGCACAAACAAATACACCAGAAACGTTGCGATTAAAAATGGCACCGAAACTAACAAACCTGAGTAATGAAAAAAAGAATATATCAATACCTTTTCTATATATATTGATTTATTTCATATAAATCAAATAATAATTTTTGACTCCTTACCAATTCCACTTCTGATAAATTTCTTCGGATTAACATCATCTGGTTCTTCGCATATTTCAGCTATCATTTCATTATCATCGTTTTTTTTAAGGCAATATTCACTTTGATTCCTGGGGTGTTTAGATGTAATCTCATCTCCAATAGGGACTACCATGCCATCCTGAACGAATAATTTTTAATTCTATTCATTTCTTGCCGATTGAAAAAAAAAATCGAGAATACACTTACATCTTGGATGTTGAATTTTGTTGCAATTCGTTTGGGGCAATTTATGCCTCTGACAGTTACGAAATGTTCATGAAAATCTTTTTTTTCCCATTCTTTATTTGCATTGATAACATCAATTTGAAACCCTGTCGGTGGGAAATCTTTTTTTACACAGTAACGAATGCACTTCATTTGATCACAAAGACAACCACGAGTATCAAACACAATATTTCCATTCTTAACTGGTGGAGCATATCGATTTGGCAGATAATTTCTGCCGTTGAACGTAATACTTTTATCCGCGTTAAGGGTTCCACTTGTGATATTGATCGAATCTATTTGGTTGCATGGCAAACGATCACGGCCAGATAAATCTGAATTTGAATCAAGTCCAGATACAACAATCAACCACACAACACCAAAGTATAACTCCCGTTTCATATTGATTAAAATTTTCATTATAAAATCGACTGAGAAAAAAACAGTTCAATCTGTTTTACTATTTCACAAACTATAAATTCGGCTGCCTCAAGGGCTACAGTTTAATTTGGATTTAGTTTTTATCACCAAATTTAATTTTTGTTTTTTTTTCCCTTATTTATCCTTATCCGTAAAATTGATTGAAAAATATTGAATGATTAATTTAAGAAAATCAAGAGTAAAATCAAAAGAGGTCAGTTCGCAACAGGCAAACAAATGGTTCTGCAGTATCCGCATTTTTTTAAATAATTATTTATTCCGTCCTGTTACATGCTTCCAAAATGGAATTTTTTTTTTAATTCAAAATAACGCTTATCTTTCAAAATTTTCACTTCCAGTTTCTCAAATATGAGTTCTCTATGGAATCATTTCGTGATAAAATTTTGTAAGTTATGATAAAATTTTGCAAGTTATGATAAAATTTTGCAAGTTATGATAAAATTTCATTTTTTTATCAATAGCAAGTATTACGCATAACGTATTAACACACAAAGTAAATTCGGTGAGCTAGTAATTTTTCTGGGTGACTACATACATTATCACTTCCGCAGTGTATTTGTATATATCGGCATAAAAAAGGAAATGCCGTAATTTCCCTAGAAATGTGCGTCATCTCTGGCAATGAAATAAAAAAGCTCTTCCGGTGCGCGTTAGTTTTGATTTATTTTCTTTGTAATGCAGTGTTGATTTACGCAAGTTAAAGCGGATAAGTGGAATTGTTTTTTCTTTCTTAATTTTTTAAAATGGGTGAAAAAATAAGGAATAATCCCGTGGGTGTATGAAGAAGAATGGTTTAAAATCCAGACTCGCAAGATATTTCGTCTCAAAAAATCGGTGTTCGCCAGATTTTTCCTTGATTTGTTTGGAATACGAATGGAAATCACCAATCCCAAAGTGGGACAAAATATATCCGTACCGAATTACATAGAGAATAGTTGTGCGAGCCCCAGCTTAAAGAATATTTGCGAAGATTTTCAATGATAGAAATTCGCGTGTCACGAGCTATCCCTATAAGCCTGATTACATAAATATGTTTACACTTTTTTTTCCTTTTACGACATTTCCGGCTGTCCAATTTACTGCGCAATATCATGCGATAAGTACTCGTAATCGTACCAAAAGTGCGAGTAATGAAAAAGAAGTGACGTGGTAAAAATATCAAAACGGTCGTAAAAACCTTTTTTGCTGTAGCTCATTCGTTTGACACTTTTTACCGCATTTGTTTTCTTGTACGTTCTTTTCGCCTTCTTTTTATTTGATTCCCGATGCCGGTGGCCATTTCATTCATGACATCACACAACCGGATTATTAGGAATTCATTTTTTTTTTCTGTCCAACTCTTGTGTCTTATTGTTTCCATTCCGGTTTGGCTTTTAGTATTAAGAGACAAATGGAAAAAAAGCATACTTTTGTTTGACATCGGCGTTGCGATATGCGATAACCGCGTGACGTTTTCGGGCGATAATAAGTGAGTAAACACTTCATTCTATCCTCTTCACGTTGATTCGGTCACACACAGAGAGATGAGAGAAAGGGAGAGAGAGAGAGAGAGAGTATAGTTATGTTAGCCCTTTTTCATCATCATAAAAATAATCAAGTTTCCTCTTTGATATTCCTTATCATTCTTCCTAAAGTTATAAAAAGAATTGTCGACTGATGCCTATCAGCGTAGTTGCGCATAAGCACAAAAATTTCTCCGTTTTTAGCTGCATCTAACCAAAACCATGTATGATACGCAGCATTTGTTCAACCTACGTTTAATTTCATTTCAAATTTTGTATGCTATTTTTATACTGTGAATGAGGAGAATTGTGCAAGACGCAATTTAAAACGGTTATTTATGTTATCATTCAGTTTTTTACACATTTTTACTCCATTTATCTTCGAGATAATCAGTGCAATGACCGGATCAAATGACCTAGAAAATGATTTTAAAAATTCGAAAAAAAAAAATCGTAAATTTTCGAAAAAATCTTTTTTTAAGCTAGCCATTTTAACACGTATGCAATTGGACGATTGAGATGTGAATCTATAAATAGCTCTATTTATTATTGAGCGCAACATAGATTCAGTCTGATTCATCGACATAATTTCGAGTTGTCTATCAGGTGGTATTTATTATGCAAAACAATGAGTGTCGTAAAGAAGAAACTATATACACATTATTGATGTTGTTGTACGTGCTTGTTTGTCGATGGCACTGGATGGAGTGTCATTTATTTAGTTCACAGAGTACATAAATAACCGAAATCAATATAAATTGCATTCAAATGCGAAAGAAGCTGAGCTCATCAACAATACGAGCGAATGTGTTAGCGAAGTAGTTGACTCAATTCCAGATGCGATTGACTTTAGTGGTGACCAAAGGACAACGTACGTTTTGGTAAATGTGAAACGACAATTGAAAAAGAAATAAAAAAAATGGACGGACAAAAAAACTGTCAAAAACAACAAAACACAATCAATGAAACGCAAACATCTTCTTTCAACGCTCATTCGAATGCATGCAACAATGAATATCGATGCAGTGAATTGTTTTCGCTGTGAACAAGTATTTTCTCATTCGTAGCAACACATATTGTGGCTTTGAGTTGAGAGAAAAAGAGAGACAAAGAGAGAAAATGTGCATGGACCATTGCAATCATTATTGGAATTGAGTGCCATCATCACTATTGCGCGCAACATTATCCAAACATTGTTCTCGCCAACATACCCGGTTTCGATCAATGCAAGCCAAAGGGAGAAAAATCAACGCAAGCAAACAACATCGAAACAGTCGTGAGAACAGAGTGCTCAGTTGGAGCGCGTTTCGTACAACAGCAAGAATTACGTAGCGAAAGCAAAAACGGAATGAGACAAACAATGCGATTGAACGGAATACGAGCGTAATAATAACAATCGAACATTTCACCATCATAAAATCATTAATTTAAAGCAAATAAGTAGCAAAAGCAGAATGAACAACGATACGGATCCAAACACGCATCCGGATAGCGTACTCACTTGTTCGCTTACTCCACTCAACACAGCAGAATCGCAAACGCTTCAGTATCCGAACAAACATTACAAACAAGTATCAGAGGACTAGTTTCGATATGTATGGCAAACAAATAGCATATGCTTGCTTAAATTTATTTATGGCAGATTGAACGAGAGACCAATTTTTTTTCCTTCTGCTCGGTACCTCACTCTCTCAATCTTGGTATGTGCTTACGATGTGCGCGCTCACTTCAAGCATTCTCACTTCTTTTCAACATTTATTATTATCACTGCACTGAAAGGTTCTCTATCACCCGAATCAATATCGATTGCTATCTACTTAAACTGTACCATATATACACACAGAAAATGATGCGATTCACTTTTATCCACTTTCAATGAATGAGATGTGCGAGTGAAACATAGGATTTCTACATGTTTTGGTTTAGTCAGAGTTTTCGTCATGTTCAGAACGGAAATTGTACGTATTTTCTTTCATTTCTCGTTTTAAAAAAATTGTTCGGTGAATTTTTCCCTGTGTCAATTCGTTCCACTCTAGCTCTTCGTTCTACTCTCCTTCTCCGTTGATAACTCATATGATTGCAATAACTTTTAAAAAGTCTACTGAAGTCCAAGCGAACAGTAGTGACTATTGAAAAATTGCACAAATTGTTATCGTTTTTTTTCCCCTATCGTTTCCATCAATTACTTTTAATAATTCACAGCTCATCGGAATGAATCGAATGGAGAAAATCTTAAATAGTTTAGAAAAAACGAGTTTCAAATACTTTGAAGTATAATTTTATCGGTTGCAGTTTTTATGTTTAGTGTTCTCTGTCGAAGCTTTCATTTTGCTAAAGGTCATGCCAGAAAAATCATCATTCATAAAAATACAGTGCGACTTGAGTTCTATTTATAATTCAGAGAATATTCTGTCTGGATGCCATGTCAAGATCAATGTTAATTTTACTATGCACGTTTCCCACTTTTTCATCGTATTTCTCTCGTACTTTATGTATACAATGTCGGCATTTTTTTTCGCAGCGTTTTTTTGTCATCTTATGTTCGCTTGTCACCAAAACATATCTAATTTTATGTGGAATTTTATGCACCAAACAATCACGTCCAACGTTAATTGGAATTTTAACATGGCAAAAAACATCATTACTCTCTTTCTCGTGTTAAATCACTGTTAATGAATGTGTTTTTATGATTTTGCCAAAAAACAATGGATGTAAATGAGTTGTTATTACATACTATTCAAGTCATAATGCGTATATTGTAGTTAATCACAGGACAAAATGTGTTGAAAAATTCATTCAACCATTTTCAAGTTGAAATCGCGGTAATCAAATTATTAAAATAGAATTATGGTAATTGTTTTACTGTTGACCATGTGGTGATAATAAAATGAAGTGTTTTATTTAAAAAAAAAAAACATGGGCATTCAAACAATGCAACTGAATTCATCTCATGTTGTCAGATTTGTTTGTAAAACGATTTGGCAGTGAACCGTTTTTGAACGATTCAAATGGCGTCTATTTTTCACCTGTGGACAAATACTTGCGCGCTCAAAAAATGTGATTGATAAATAAATCAAATCGGATGAATCCCACACTTCTGCCATTCATCACATCATGCTGAATTCGAATTCGTTCCAGAAGTGAAGAGTAGGGTATGTCGCTGGAGACCTGACGAACATACAGCGACCGAATTTTTCGACTTGACCTGAATTTATTCGTTGAAAGTACGTTTCAACGTATTTCATTGCGAAATTCTTGACACATTTTCCTCGCCATCCCTCTCTCTTACCGGATCAAGACATCTGAATCGATGCCTTGGCATTAATCGAATTAAAAACGAAGCAGGTTTCGATTTTGCAACGGTATTGAATGAAGAGCAGATGTAAAACCGACTGACGGATGTTCGTAGAGGTAAATCGCGATAAGCTGCATTGGTTGAGCGTCAAACACGGTGCCATGAGAATCGCGCAAACGAAAACCCGTACGAAACGTGTTTTCATTGATAGCAGCAGAAAGGAGCGTGAAATGTTTTGCGTGAATCCAAACTATTATTTATAAATTGACTGACATCTTAAGCTAAGCAGCAATTTATTATACACATCTCACAATGTGGGAAGAGAGGAAAAAAGAGGGAGAAAAAAAATCGCTTTTTCTCTATTTTCATCCATATAAACACATGCACAGAGAAAAAGAGCGAATGAAGCAGATTCAATGCGTTTGTTCTTTTTTCTGTGTTCTGCTCGAATCAGTTATATTGTTTCACATAAACCCTTAAAACGACACTCATCTTTCAACTGATGCTTGACTGAACGACAAATCTCATTTTGTAGCTTTGGATCAGATTGACGACGATAGCAACTGGTTGGCGCGCGCCGTCTATGTGGCGTCAATGTTCGTAATCCATGGTAAGCATTTGGAATGTTGTGCACCGCATTCAATGGAGGGAGGGAGGTATGGGTTAAGCACAGTGAGAGAAAAATATATAAGCACCGATTGACAAATTTACAATATGTTTTCTTCCCTCCTCCATCCAACATCCAAAATCATCCAACAATTGAATTATCGATTTGTGGCGTCTACGACATGTCATGACTAATGTTTTTTATTTTGGATATTTTTTTTCGATTCTCATGGCAAACTTTTGATGAAAGATATATACAGACGCACAACTGGTTACTGTGTTGGGATGAAAACAAATTTCCGATTTTTTTTTTCACTCTAAAATAGCACGCCATTTATTTTTATTCAGCCCGAAACATAAATAGTGAATTGGATCCTTTTTCCAGTTATTTGTAGCATTGGCTTTATTTGGAACATTTACTTCAAATGAGTCAATTTGTTTTGAACCGTTGAGAGTTTGATTGAATCCCATCGATAAATAAAGTATCGATTTTTACTGATTTTCAAAAGGTCGTGACCTCATATTCGGAAGTAGTGTGACGAATTCTCTTGGGATAAAGAGATAAAGGATAATACATGGAATTGAACAACAATGCATAATTAATTGCGTCGAGTAATTTCTTTGGCATTTTGGACAAAGGTGACCGTTTATTATACGAAAAAAAAACGGAAGCGTTTATCTAATCGACCATATCAAATAATGAAATGCAATATCTTAATTTTCACGATGGGCATGTAAACAATTTAACACACCCCTTTTGAACTGTCATAATTACGGTAATTCCAACTGGTTTTACCCGGTTCTACGGTGACCATTCTCATATTCGCATATTTGTCCATTTATTTGGCTTATCAATTATCATTCATATCTTACGATGACACAGCCGATAATGACAGACAAACACGCCCTTCGGGGATGCAATAACTTTTAAATAAGGTCATCATATCGCTTGGCTGATAAAATTAATAATACATATACTGCTTGAAATTGATACTGATGAAAGAAAAAAAACCAATTTCCTACTCAACGAACATGCAACAACCGTCTCATTTAGTATACTAAATGGATATATCCAACTCTTTCACTTGATAGTTGCATGATATAAACGAAGTTGTTGTCATTACGGCAATTAACTTTGGAGAATGCAACTTTAACATCGGAACTTTGGACTGCTTCGAGCTAAATTGGTTATTTTCATGTTGTCCCTAAATTCTTTGCAAAGTTTTACTCATTATAATCTGCTTGTGAAATGTAATTTAAACTAGAGAAAAAGAAAGAAAACCCGTCGAAAATGTAATCGCAAACTCACTTGCAGTCTATCACAATTGCAACTTTTCTACGCAATGCACATTCTCCAACATTTCTGATTTCTTCTTTTCACATTCAATTTTCCTTTCGTCAGAATGTAAACAACTCGAGAGAAATCAGCGTGGGACTCTGGTTGTTTGCATCATTTTTGGCATTTGATGAATGGAAATTGAATCGAAAAAAAAACGAAGAATAAGGAAAGCAATCGAATGTTTGTGCAATCTCTCACAAGCCGATTACTGTTTATTGAATGAGAACGTTTCCTATTTTGATTTGCATATTCTTAATACGTTTTACTGTGAGAACGTGATGTTGATAAAAGCCGAACAATGTATTGTATGTCGAATCGGTTGCGATGCACTTGTACATCGAATCACATTTGATATTTTGTTGTTACTTTGGAGCCCAGAGTTCATGGAATGCATCAATACGAATGTAACGAAGGGGCGAATTTCATGACAATTGATTAATTCAATGCACTTGGCAGAGATAATTTTAACTGTGGGAATAAACAAAAATTAATCATGCACAATTCAAACTGTATTGTAAACATGAACCAAGAGGAAGCGTCGAAATCCGCCATTCAGATTGATTTATTTAAAGAAATAAGGACAGATTTAAGGTCACATTTCAAAGAGACCGAATGGGGCTATTCACTTTTGCTCTTTTCGATTCGGTCTTCCCGCATTGATAGCCAAGTGTTTGTCAGAACCAAATAAATTGAACTCAATAAAAAAAGGTCATCAATGGTTTGCATATATTGTGTCTACTTTCTTCTTGGAATTATTTGTAAACAACGATTTGGAATGAAACGAATATTCTCGTTAAGTTTTACTGAGAATTACCAAATAACAACGAAATAAACTTGAAATGTAGAAAACACAGCGAAGAAGGTTGAATGAAAGATGCACGCGTCAAAAAAATATTGCATATAAAAAAGGTGCATGTCAACTTGTCAACACATGGCTTCAGGATGCTATATGTTTATAAAATAACATCAGCCTCTAGTGCGTTGAGCTGTGAGTGATGTAATTTATTTGTTTACAGACGACTTCTTCGAATCTGTCGCTGCGATTATTCCACCGGCAAATTGAGAAGCCGACGCAAAGAAAAAAACCAAGTGACAAAGTTCATATGATGCCAAAAATAATTAGTTGATGATGCAAAAAATTGCGTCGCTTAATTGAATTACTGGTGAAACCAGACACAAATGTGCTGCGGCGGCGCATAACATTATAAACTATCAAATTAGATAAGATATAAGGCGTATGGAAAAACCAGTAGATAATATTGTGCTGGTATAGCGCTTATTTTAAAATTGCATTCACAATTTACGACTCATATTTTTTTCTCGAGCTGCTTGTCGTCGATGCCAATATTTTGGCATTCAACATCATCTTTGACTGAACCGAAAAACATACACATTCAAACCCTTCCGCCGTGCAATGAACAATCACAAGGCCTATCGTGAGCGTGAGTTCGTGAAACGTTCAATTTGCGTGCCATTGACATTTCTGTTTTTTTTTATTCTGACGTTTCTTTCTTTAGCCGTGTTTGTTTCGACCACGTTCATCAAATTCTCATAGTGAAAAAAAAAATTCCGTGGAGAAGGCAAGAGTGCAGTTTTTTAACAAAAACCGGTATGTTTTGAGCTATGGAAACAAATATTTTCCTTCCGAAAATCATCGGATCTTCTATTGACTGTCAATCAATGTTATTTGAAATAATTTCATTGAGGTTATGAGTGCCAAACAATAGCAGCTATTGAAATTGTTGTAATTCGATTTTGTGTTGGAAATTTTCTAGAGATGGCTCCGAAAAATAAAATTGACGAATCAGAAAAGAAGCCGCTGATCGGTCGTGTGGGAACCAATCTTCGTGTCGGCATCGTTGGTAAGAACAACTGTTCAAATAAGCATGTTTCCATGTCCAGGTGATTAATCATTTCTATTTTTAGGTGTGCCAAATGTGGGGAAATCGACGTTTTTCAATGTTTTAACTAAAAGCGCCGCACCGGCTGAAAACTTCCCTTTCTGTACCATTGATCCGAATGAAAATAAGTATCGCAATTTTACAACTAATCTCTTTTATAAGAAACAATTTTGACCTTTGCAACCATAAATGAACTACTAAAAACATAGGTATTTTATGTTAACCGATAATTTGTTTTCCTCTTTTTTGTTCGTTCTGTGTTTACGTCGTGTCCCAGTGCCAGACGCTCGATTCGACTATTTAGTTGACCACCACAAACCAGTCAGGTATAGATTTTGCCCATTTTTCGAAGAAAAAAATTCAAAATAAATAACGAGTTTTGTTTTGACTTCATTCAAATAGCAAAGTTCCGGCTTATTTGAATGTTGTTGACATTGCCGGTTTAGTCAAGGGTGCTGCTGAAGGTCAAGGATTGGGAAATGCTTTTCTGTCCCATATCAGCGCTTGTGATGCCATTTTCCACTTGTGCCGTACGTATTTAATTTGAGATCGATTCAAAATTTCGCTCTTCATTTGATTTTTATTGCGTTTTTACCGGATTTTTTGGCAAATTTTATTAATTTTTTTCGATTTTAAAATGTTATTCCAATTCATTGTAATTTGTTTTTCTTCGATCTTTCATATTTCAACAGGAGCATTCGAAGATCCAGATGTGACTCATGTTGAAGGTGAAGTAAATCCAGTGCGTGATTTGGAAATCATTGGCGAGGAATTACGTTTGAAGGATGAGGAAACCGTAGATAAAACTCTTGAAAAAATGGAACGAACTGTCATTCGAGCCAACGACAAGAAAATGAAACCCGAATATGTGAGTAGATTGAAAAAAAAACTTGAATAAAAAACGGTTTTCTAAGCCAAATTTAAAAGAATAAATCTTTTAAAAAAGGATCAGGAATTGTTATTTGAAGCCAAAATATACACACATTTTCTATTGTCGCATTGTCCAGGAAAATAATCAATTGTTATATCAATTTAAATCTAGGATACTATAGTGAAAGTGAAATCTGTTCTATCTGACGAAAAGAAGCATATCCGTTTCGCTGACTGGAGCGCTCATGATGTAAGTAATTCATTTAACAAATAAATTAAAATTTGGAAATTTTATTTGTTTCAGTGGAAAATATCTACCATTTGATTTTTTTTTGCATTCAATAAAGTAACCAATCAAGCTAAATGACTTTATTTGCTTCTTTCCAACGCAGATCGAAGTTTTGAACAAACATTTGTTCTTGACATCGAAGCCATGCGTGTATTTGGTGAATTTGTCGGAAAAAGATTTCATTCGCAAGAAGAACAAGTGGCTCATCAAGATCAAGGAGTGGGTTGATAAGAACGATCCAGGTGCATCGATCATCCCATTCTCCGGTGCGTTCGAGCATAAATTGGTTGAATTCGAGAACGAAGCCGAACGTAAGGCATACGTTGAGGAGATCAAATGTGATAGTGTTTTGGATAAAATAATCGTCACCGGTTATAAAACCCTGCAATTAGAATACTTTTTCACGGCTGGTCCCGACGAAGTCAGAGCCTGGACCATTCAAAAGGGAACTAAGGCACCACAAGCAGCCGGTCGCATTCACACCGATTTCGAAAAGGGTTTTATCATGGCTGAAGTTATGCATTTCGCTGATTTCAAAGAGGAGGGCAGCGAATCAGGTGCCAAAGCAGCTGGTAAATACCGTCAGCAAGGCCGTAACTACGTCGTTGAAGACGGAGACATTATTTTCTTCAAATTCAATGCTGGCGCTGGATTAACCGGAAAGAAAAAATAAACTTTGAACCATATTTCTAAATGGCATTTTCAAACCTTTCTCACATCTTTTTGGATTTTTTACGTTTAAAATTGAATTTTTCTAACAAATACACGTGAATGGGGAAAGTTAAACCCGAGTTTTAATTCGATTTATTATGGCATGAAAATTGATAATAAAAGAAAATAAAAATCAATTCTTAATCTAGTTCATTGTCCTTATTCTTATTCTTTTCGTCCGAATTGGAGTTTCGTTGACTCGCACGTTCGACGGTCGTATCTTTGAAAATAATCTTGCAGTCGATCGCATTCATGTTTGGCAACAGGAACTCTTGGAGACTTCCATCGTTTTTGGTTGCCTTGCGGTCAAATGGAAAGCCCATGTTCCTCTTGTCCGGATATAATCGATCACGAATTCCACAGTAGGCCATAGCGTTCCGGCACGTGCCGGTTAAATCTTGTTCGACCTGAAACATGCATTGATTAAAAGACTTGATAGATTCCGATTATTCGAATAAAATTACATGATCATCGTCAAAGTTTGACACCATTGCAAACAGCTGACAGGCCAGTCCACCGTTATCAGATTCGGGCGCACCTCTAGGCACCAACATGTGGTGTGGCCAACCGCAACCACAAAAATCGTACGCATATCCTTCTCGTGAGAATTCTTGCAGCCGGCCACCGGCTTGTTGTTGGTCACCGCCTGGCCTATCCTTATCGATATTTCTGAATGTTTGCTCATACGGAATTGTCACCGTTGACTCAGTTGACTTTCTTCTGATCACATTCTCTCCAGGGTGTACTGAAACGAAATTAAAAATTTTAATCTTTCGATGGGTCAAAAAATATTTCATTTTAATTATTTATTAAAAATCAAGTCCTTAGGATATACAAAAATCATCTATAATAATTCAACATACAATTGGCCTCGAAGCGATCCATTTCCATCATTAAAAGCCGCATTTCGGCAAATTTGAACTCTTTGCCCTCTTCATCGAATTTCGGTGCAAGGAATATTCGCACCGTCCCACGATTTTGCACATTTCTGTTGTTCATCACTTTGATCGTGTAAATGAATGGGATGTGTTGCAAGTGACTGAATCTGAAATTTCCCAATGTTAAGAAAAAAAAGTTTGGAATGAATATATCGATTGAGTGAGAATTAATTGAACCTATTGAATTTTTTCAAAAATTCTTATGAACTATGATTTAAAAATACAATCAAAGACGAACCGGGCATAGATGTTTCCTCGCGGTAGGAAGTCCATTCCACGAGATAGATCTACATCTGACTGTTGCCAGAAGGTGTTAAAAATATTGGGTTCAACGTCACCATCTGTTTTGAATTCAAATGATGAAAGAACGATCGAATCGTAGCCAATCTCTTTTTCATTGTATGGCCGAAGTTTTTCTTTGTGAATTTGGAAGTATTGGTCGATGAATGCATGCCATCGGTAAAATGCTGGGTCACGTATCGCAGTCGCCGATTCACCTGAAATGTCATAATTAATTCTTATTAATTGACTCAAAAAGAATTTCAGAAAAAAAATATTGACATAAAATTAAAGAGTCCCATATGAACCATTTGCGGAGAAATTCAGTATACGGTATCATAGCGTATGTACGGTATCTCCGCTGTGCACTGTATTTCTCCGTAAATGGTTCATTTGGGTTTCGTTGAAAATAAAAATTTTGTTTTGAGAAAATTGAATAAAATTAATTTTTTTTTTCAAAAATGTTACCTAAAACGCCAAAGGATTCCAAATGTCTGTGCTCAGGATCATGTGCAAATGCCATAAAAACCTTATTTCAAAAAAAAAAAAATAATTGCAAGTAGAAAAAGAAAATAATAAAAATAACACTCACATGGCCCATGTTATGAATATCACCATAATAATCTCTGTCAATCGATGCTGTCGACGATTCCATCATGTTCCCCAGCATATCAATACCATTGTAATCGTCCAGATGTACTTTGTCGCCGTTCGGCTGTAATAATTAAATTGGGATTTAATTTAAATTCATTTAAATAATAAGCTATTAAATTAACTAACATCTCTAGCAAGACTCTCTTCGCACGCCAATTTGAATCGATCGATAAAGGTTTCCATTTCCGATATTGTTATTTTGATTTCATCAAGACCCCGGTTTAAGTCAGTCAATTGCACATTGGAAGGTCGCGCCGGCCAAGCACGACTCGTTATGTTGGAGCTCATCTTCGGAAAATATGCTTCAGAAATTGTCTCACGCAAACTCGAAAATGGTTTTGCACGTTCCATCCGATTACTGAGCCGTTCGGCATTGTACCTGGCCATTATCTATAGTTTAGAAAATCGGGAAAGAAAAAACATTTTAATTTCGAAACAAAAATAACTAAAAATAAGAGTAGAAATTGGTGATTGGATAGCAAATGAAAAAGTGAAATAAAGTTCAACCTGTTCATGCATATAATAAAAAAGTTCGCCACGTCGGTGTTTCGCCACAATTAAATTGCTGAACGCTTCATATGGATACACAAGGTGCCAATGCCAGTGATGTACTTCAACATGAAACAATATTAAATATTTTAATCTTTTCATACGTGAGAGAACAGTTCATTTTTCAATTTTTGAAAGAATTCTTCTAAAAACACTAAGATCCATGGAATATACACAATAAATATCGTCTATGACGATTCAACTCACAATTAACTCCAACGTCCTCTCTGAAATACCAGAGTTTGTGTTCAATTTCTTCATCGGAAGCGGTGTAACTTTTTGGTATTTCAATTGGTTTACGCAGTCCCTCTGGTACCAAAAATGCTTCTTCACGTATACGTGCAAATACTTTGGAATCTAGGAATTTTTCGGGAAATGATTCGATGAAAAGTGGAATATTTAAATCTTTTGTATCTTCACGATGCAAAATCACCACCGACAAAGCGTAGTTGAATAAAAATGGGTTAAGACGATCTCTGGCGTAAACAGCCACTGTTTGTAGTTCATCGATGGTTTTTAATTCTGAAAAATTACAAGAAAAAAACAATTTCTATAATAAATTAATTTTCAATTAAACGCTTAGGCAAACGAACTTACTCATGAAGATATCGATGAGTGTGGCAGCCAAGCGACGATGCCGTGGAATAAATAATGAGAACTGCTCATGTCGACCAAGCGACAGTGGAATTTTCAAATCCGGAATCGAAATATCATCACGCACTGGGATTATTTCTTGAGCCCTCTCACTGAATGTTGACTGCACTTCGGTGCCGATGCCTTTAAAACGATCCGGCAAAAATTTGCTCGGCACATCGAACACTGCATTCTTCGGCCCCTTTTCAACAAACACTGGCTCTTGCGGCCTATCGAACAACAACAATAAATTCTCTTTCTTTGCCATCTCACTTGTACTGACTATGACAACTCCAAACAAACTGGCGACGATTGGCATCTATCCACGGCCATTTATTCAAAATGATTCGCTGGCCGTTGAATATGTGTTTATGCATATCTCCTGTGGTCATACCTCGTTTCCTTTGCAATTGGATTCACTCGGATTTTGCGGTTTTTCCATCGCTCTCATTAGATTCATATTTTGAGAACAAACGATTCTTGCAGCGCAATTCGGATTGAAATCGACATTACTTTCAACCGGAAAAAATCAAAACCAACATTGTGATAAAAGAACATTTACCTCATGATTTCATTTTCAAGTCAACATCAAAGCTATGGTTAATGCTAGTTGACGGATTGAATGTGTCTCTGAGTAGCTTCTACCATAATCAACAAGCGATTTTTAACCAACTGAAATTACAAAACCGAAGAGATTAAAATCGGTAAAATGGCATGCAATTGAGTTTTTTTTTCGTGCATTTTTAAAAATATCAGTACATTTTTTGCGGTTTGGCATTTTTGGCGACAAAGTGAAATATTTGACATTAAACGAACACAGTGGAATGTCACATTTTGCAAAAACGAATCGATTGTGAATGATGAAAGTGTGACAGACAGAGAGGGATAGATTTAACGGCATTTCATATTTCTACCATCAAACAACCGACAAACAAGCCTATTCATGCTTGCTCTGCTTTAAACATTGTACAAACTGAATTTGGATCGAACACTTGCGGTGCAAAAACCGAACGATGCCATTTTACGTACAGATGCAATTGTCTTTCTCATTCAATCATAGTTACATCGCTTAGCCGAAACAACGTACATTGAGTTTGTAGTCACAATTCGTGTAATTTGTCATTGACACTAAACAGATCCCAAAGAGAAAAACGGAAAATTGATTTGTTCTTACATAATTTTGTTGGATAAAATCGTACATGGTAAGTGCTAACATTCTCTCCGATTCTATTCATTTGTGTCAGAAACAAGTAAAATGTGAAAATGAACAAAAATTATTGCAAATAATTGTCAGCGGTCACATTTTCTTGTTTTGACATGTTATGAATAGCGTCGATTTGGGGGAAAAAACATCAACTCCAATGAGAAAATCGAATTATTACAATCCATTCTATTGATTCTTCGTTTTGGCCAGAACTGAAGTGATGGTTATTTGGAAAAACGACAAAAATCAAATTAAATTAAAAAATTATTGCTTCAATTTTCCAATCGTGAATTCATTTCCAATTTATGCTAATGTTTATGTGTTATTCATTCCATCAGATGGATTCGATTACGTTGCAATCGTGCGATGGTAAAAATTTCGAGATTGATCGTGATGCGGTGAAGTATATCGGTATGATAAATGATATGCTACAAAATGTGGGTGAGGATGGTCTGGATAACGAAGCAATCAAAATACCACAAGTCGATTCGATCATGTTGGATAGAGTGCTGAAATGGGCTGCCTATCGTAAAAACGAAGACCAAACCAAGGTAAAGGACGTGAATTTTGAAAGAGACTTCATCAAGGAAAACAATGTCCATTTGTTTGAACTCATCAACATTGCTAATTACTTGGACTTCAGCGACATGCTCCATTCTCTTTGCCGGAGTGTAGCCCTGAAAGTGAAAAATAAATCCACCGCCGAAATTCGTCGAGAGTTTGGCATCACCGAAATGTAAATTACACCCTCAAATATCAAACATATAAGCGATTGAGTCGCATGGAAACCGTACTTTTTTTCATATGAAACTAAAAAAGATTCATCAGAACAATTATTCATTGAGAGAAAAATCGTAATTAAAAAGTGAATTGAAGAAAAATTTGTAGCAAAAAAAAAATGTTGAAACTGTAAATGTAAATGAAACAGCTCCATTGTTTGGAATAAAGTGTAATAAAATATGATGTACCCGTAAGACCATTGTAACATTTTTCCAATTCGAATTCTTTAGACCGAAAAAAAAACACCGTCCGCTATCCTCATGCCATGAGAATGTCTTGTTCTTTTGAACGTTTGCAGCAGAAAGCGAAAGAGAGTTGAAAGTAAAATGAGTAGAGAATTTAAACAAAAACAAGTTCAAAACATACACACACATCAACACCAACACATGCAACACAAACGTTTCGGGCGCGAAGAATGTTCACATGTGAAGATGTTCATGTAACACGCACGCCGCTTCGTTGTTTATGTTCTCCATTCTGGTCGAGTAGCAGCAAGTGTATGCTTATTGTTTCTGTTTTATTCCGTCTTTATCTCTGCTTCTCCTTCGTACACACCAAACACCACAGAAAGAAACCGCTTTTTAGTTTAGTTGTCAAATTGCCATGGGTACGGTTTGTTTTGTTGGTTGAAAACACAACGTTTTCCATGGTGTTTTTGTGTGTGAAGAGTTGAAAATCGGGAAATGTTCAAATTACCATCAAATTATTAGCACCTGCATTGTTGGAATTTAATGGGAATAGCGAGCATTAGCATAAAATGACATTGTATTTTGATACGAAAGCACAATTTCTGGATGGTGATGCGGTTTCCACGGAATGTGTTTGGCATTTGGCACAACCTTTATTCGCGGTGGCCTCGTATAATCAAGACCGTGGTGCTTGTGTCACCATATTCGATGATTCGGTAAGTACTGTTTAACAACATAATCATGTTGGCTTGTTGCAAACATTTTCTACATTCAATTTGTGTGTTTTTATACCAGGGTGAACCGCTGCGTGATGTTACTTATCCGGTGCATTCGGTTTCACAAGCAACAGCCTTGTGCTGGCATCCAGAACGTCGACAATTAGTGGCCGGTTGGGAGAATGGTGAATTGAATACATGGAGCGCTGGACAACGGACATTTTCATCGATCCAGAGCACACATAAATCGCCAATCGTTTATGTTGGTTTCAGTGAACAAGGCGGTCGAATGGTTAGCGCTGATTCGGTGAGTGGAATTAATTGTGATTTTTTCACAACATTTTTAGCACTAAAAATCATTCTTCATATCCTATAAACGCTTCACTTTCTACATTTGAATCATTCATTTCTCTATTTCGGTTTCATAAAGATGGGCATTCTGATCGGATGGCGATGTGATTCACACAATGGCCAATTCACATCGATGTTCACACACGATCTTCGTGACTCCATAGTGCATGTGACCTTTCGAAAGACGGTCAGAAGCCTCGTCACAACTGAATTGAACAATTTGGCCAAAGCAGCTGTTGCCGGTGACGAAATTGCACTCGATACTCTCGCCAATTGGAGACCGAGAACCGCAGCTCGTGGGCTAACACATGCCGGTGTTAAAGATAATCAGTGTTTTTACGTGGGTTGCCAATCGGGTGCTGTGTTTTATGTAAATCAATCCGGTACTTGCAATGAGGTGTTACGTTGTGATATTTCACCCATCACACAAATGATCTGGCATCCAAAGCGAGAAGTGGTTGTAACACTCATGGAAGACATGATGGTGGGACATTACATGGTTGAATCGGCCGGAACATTGACTGAGCTCGAGCGAGTCAAGTTAAGTGGAAAAGTTCCAGGGAAAAATGGATTTATTTCATGGGCAGGCAGTTCATTGGCGGTTATTACAGGTATGTTGGAAATATTGAGGAATCTTTCTGGCGAATTTTTCATCAAAAAGTGCATTTTTTCAACCAAAATTTCAACCAATACGTCGTTTTTGTTTGAAATAAGGATATTTTGTTATCTAAAAATGTCGCTAAAATATCCATAGGTGATTTTACGGTTCGAATATTCGATCTGGACACGAGCGACAGTTTCTTATTGCCAATGAATCAAGTGAAAAAGGACACAACTGAAGCCGAGCCAATAAAACCGATTGAACAGAAAGACTATCCGATCAACATGAAGAAACAACGATCGATTTTGGATCGAAGCTTCGACAGTGATGAAGAGATTGCGGTGACAATGGATGATTCGGAACTCACGGCAAAAGTAACAACATTGCCGCCGAAAATCATGGAAGTGTTCACAAGTTTGGCGTATTGCAGTGAAAATCAAACTCTGTGCGCCGGAACAAATCAAGGGAACTTGTATATTTGGAAGCGTAATACTGCACTCATGGCACACGTCATCAGCAGTGGAATGGAGAATGGTATTATTGGCTGCGAGTCAATGGAGAACTTTTGGCACTTGGTGAACATAGCCAATGTGCGAGGCGCCATCAAATTTTGCAGCTGGGGAGTGTGCGATGTGTCGACACCATGTGTTTTAGTCAATTGCATATCAAATGTTTATATCCTAAAGGTGAGATTTTTTTTTGTAATGAAAAATTGGAAATTTTAACGCAATAATTGAATGTTTCGTTCAATAGGAGCAACCACTGTTGACGGCATACTCGCCCAACATTTGGATACGACAAAAATCAGCGACACAACTTTATGTCGAGCATTCGAGTAATTTTTCAACCATTCTACGAAGTGATATCACAGCCATTACGGGTCTCTGTCTGAACGAACGCAATCTGGCAATTACCAATAATAAAAATATCGCCATTTATAAAATACCTCGAGTCGACGAATTTAAGGATACGGCAAACAATAAGAATGTGGCCATCAAACTCATTCACACATTCAATGTGACGGATTGCATGCAGATATTCATTTATGACGAAATGCTCATCGTTGTTGGCTATCAAAATGCTCGCGTTTATTCATTTGGCGGAATCGTTCTAAAAGAGATCAATTTTAATGACAATGAAGGTAACTGTGTGGTTTTTTTGACAAGTGCTTTTTTGCGAGCATATAGCATCGAATTTGGCTCAATGTTTTTTTCTTCATTTTGTAAACTGTTCAAAAATCCAAAATAATGAATACGGTTCATAGTATCACTTGAATATCATATGAGATCGATTCATTCATTTTCTTATCCTGTTGATAGGAACTCCGATCGGAGCCTCATTGACGCATCATTTCATGACGATTTTCACGATGAACGGATTTCTCAAAATCTACGATGTATCGCGACATGAGCCAAAATTAATCGTTCCCGCAAAATCGGGCTACGATTTGTTTGGCAATTTTGGCGAAATAATCATGGCAAAGTCAAATAATCAAGGCACACATTTAGCGATGACCATCGCCACTGAATCATTCGTTCCTGATGGGAAGCTATACATATGGGATATGGAAAAAGATCGACTGTCTAATTTCGATTTTCTTAACGAGAGCAACCAACAACCCACCGAAATTGAGAAAAAAAATCCCAAAGAAGCGGAACAAAGTGCTTTTGTTCGCAGGTTAGGAAAAATGTCCAAATTATAAAGTAACATTAAAATCATTAATGAATTTTTTGAAGCTAAAATGATAAAAAAAAGCAGAATCGAAAAATTCCACATTTTTGGATGATGAATAAAAAAAATCTCTCAAAATTTTCTATCAGAGTGCCAGTGTCGTTCTGCTGGGACAATGAAGACGCACGAATTGTGGCATGTGAAACGCGTCGATTGATACAGCCCAATGAGAAGCGGCCACCAACCTCAATGGGCACAATGCGACCCAAAGATCCAAAGAAATCTCCATCGCATGGATCTGGTAGCGAACCAGTGCCTGATTCGCAAGTGTTCATCTTGTTTCCGACGAATGATGTTCGGAACTTGGTAAAATCCATGGAAATATTGGATTTGCAATTCGGGGAACAACTGATTGATATGTACACGCCATATGTGGTATGTTTATTTTCTAATGTGCGAAAACAATTTTTTGTCAACTTCAACTTTATTTTTTCTCTCTTCTAAACATGAATTCAATTTCAGATTACTCTCAAAGTGGGTCAAATTGAGCGCAATGTGCTAACCAACTTCAAAGGTATTGAAACAACAAGTGAGACAAATCGAAAGTTAATATTGGATTTCAGTATTTTTATCGCTGATGGGAAAATGGATGAAGCGTTTCGCTGCATTAGATCCATACAGTCGGAGACAGTTTGGGAGAACTTGGCAAAGAAGTGTGTACAAACAGGTCGTTTGGATGTGGCGAAAATCTGTTTGGGCAATTTAAAGCGAGCGTTATCGGTTCGCGCACTTCGTATGGCCATGGCTGATGAGGCGCTAGAGCCAGAGGCAAAAATTGCCGTATTAGCCATTGAACTACAAATGATACCTGAGGCCGAAGCTCTGTACAAGAAGTGTGGCCGATACGATTTACTCAATCAATTGCTGCAGGCATGCGGTAGATTTGAAGAAGCGCTGCAGATAGCCGAGCGTTTGGATAGAGTTCATCTGAAGAATACCTACTTTGAATACGCCGAATGGCTTAAGGGAAATGGGGATATTAACAATGCCATGATCTACTATAGCAAAGCGAACAATACAGCTCACAATGTAACGCAAATGCTTATTGGCAATCCATCGCTTTTGAAGGTAAGTGCAAATTGGGTATTTTAAACTTCTTTATTTCCAACTATTCGATAAAAGACCAATATCATTATAGCAATACATGAGCGATTCAAACGATCCAAATATGCTGAAATGGTGGGCACAATACACAGAGAGCACTGGAGATATGGCTGCAGCGTTGAAGATTTATCAAAAGGCTGAAGATTGGTTTTCACAGGTAAATAAAAACCACATGGCATTGAGAATAAACAGAATAGATAATGAATTTCAAACACATTCTCAACAAAATACCTCATCCAGGTACGGATCTTGTGTTTTCTGGGCGATGTAACAAGAGCAGACGCAATCGCAAAAGAAAGTAATGACAAATCGGCATGTTACCACTTGGCGCGGCACTACGAGAACACGGGTAAAATCCAAGATGCCATTCAATTTTACACACGCGCTCAAACCTATGGAAATGCCGTACGTATTTGCAAGGAGCACAATTTGCCGAATGAACTGTGGACCGTTGCAAATTTGGCTCGATCTCGTGACAAAGCGGTAGCGGCCGCATTTTTCGAAGAGATCGAAGACTACAAGCGAGCTGTAGAGTTGTACCATCGGTCTGGAATGCTCCACAAAGCGGTTGAAATGGCATTCGCTTCAGAGCAACCGGAAACGTTGCAAGTGATCGCCGCCGATCTCGATGCCAAATCCGATCCAGAGCTAATAGAGCGATGTGCCGAATTTTTCGTGAGTTCACAACAACCACAAAAAGCGGCAAATCTGCTGGCGAATGCAAAGCAATATGTTAAATCATTGGAAGTGTGTCGAGAGTACAAAGTGCCCATAACCGATAATTTGGCCGATTTGCTAACGCCAGCCAAAGAAGAAATTGAGGAACATGTACGGATTCGGGTATTAACTGAATTGGGTGATGTTTTACAAGAGCAAGGCGATTATCACACTGCTACCAAGAAATTCACCCAGGCCGGTGACAAAGTTCGAGCCATGAAGAGTTTACTTAAATCAGGCGACACAGAAAAAATTGTCTTCTTCGCAGGAATGTCACGGCAAAAAGAGGTTTATATCATGGCTGCCAATTATTTGCAGTCATTAAATTGGCAATCGGATGCAAAAATTCTGAAAAACATCGTTCAATTCTATTCAAAGGCACATGCGTACGATTTATTGGCCAATTTCTATGCAAACTGTGCTCAAGTGGAGATTGACGAATTTCACGACTATGACAAAGCCATCAAAGCACTTCAAGAGGCTTCGAGATGCATGGTCAAAATAACAGTCGACTCAAACACCATTCAACACAAACGAGTTACAGATAACTTGCAGAATGCGTGTGTTGAAGTGAAAAAAGTGCTGGAAATTCAAGACGCTCTGGACAGGGGCGAGTATAGCAATGTTGTGGCGGTTTGTAAGAGTATGTTGAGCATTTCAGAACGGCCACCAGTTCGAGCTATTCACATACAGGCAATTTTAATTGAAGCACTCATTCGAAATCGTCGATATCCTGAGGCGATGGATGCATTAAAAGATTTGTCCAGCAAATCGAGTGACTGGAGCTACAAAGGTTTGTTGGAGAGGCCGTTGATTGAGAAACTGGCACATGAAATGAGCGTTGAATTTAGTACAATTTGGAATATGGGTCGCCAAGATATGACAAACGGTGGTGACGAGACCAGCGAAAATGATGATGAAATTCAAGAGGAAATCGAATAGAAAGCATGAAATGTTAATGTTACCAAATGCAACCAGTTCGTTAGGACTCGTTCACATAAATTTTTTTTCGAGTTTTCACAGATAAAAGAGAGAAATTGAGGGTAAAACGAAGAAAGTGTTCTATTTTATATGAGAAATTATTGATACAAAATTAAATAAATAAACATTTTAATCAAGAACGTGATTTGTTTTGATGAAAATAGATATTTGAATTGAAATTTCATCATATGATGACATGCATTAATTTGTAGTTTGCATACAGATTACACAAAGAAAATATCGCATGAAAAAGCTTCATTGAAGACCAAATCATATAAATACTTTTGATTTACCTTTTCACATCGAAATCTATTCTCGATGACGGAAAATATTTTATTTTTTCCAAAAATAAAAAATAATTTCATAACAATAGTCAATTGCATTTCAAATCGATTTCGTATTTCGTAAATTTACTTTGAACGTTTCAGCGCATCGGACAACACTCATTCGATGGTGGCGCTACAGTATATGCGACAGTGACTTGTCGTAATAAAATCAGTAGACATTCTGCACCAAGTTCGCCATTCTTCTAGTGTTCGTCACAATAGCAGCAAGTCACCAGCCAATTCCAGCTGAATACAAACAGTATTGTAAATCGAAAGCAAATTTTCCGACAATTTTCATATTTTTCGTTTGTTTGAACTCAACAAAAAACATTCACAAAGGTATGTACGATAGAAATTTCATCTTTTTCTTCGAGGTTTGTCAGTGTCGACATTTGTGTTGAACGCAGAAAAAAGAGAAAAAAAATGTAGAACAAAAGGTACGCGCACACGGCTGTACTGATGTCATAAATAGCAACTAAAATTTCTTTAGAATTGTTGTTGTCATGCGATTTTCAAGAAAAAGAAGGAAAAATTGTTTTGAACGGTCGCTAGTTAATGATGATAAGAACGCATTTCTTTGTAATTTTTTACGACAAAAAATTTCCAATGAGACGATTCAACCATGATTCATAATTTGATTTGGTCAAGAATTGATTATCCGACATGTTATCTTAGCACAAGCTGTTTTCGTTTGTGTTTTATTTCGACGAAATCCCCATTCGTTGATTGAAAGTGTATGTGTGTATGTGTATGTGTGAGTGAATTTCACAATAGAACCGTACAAGCATATACATGTTTCCTCATTCGGTTCAGTTTACTGTGTATTTGAAGCGACACACAACACAAGGTTCATATTCGCTACATTTTCATAATTTAGTTCAATTTCGTGTGAAGCGATTTTTCTTCTTCAAATATATTTCTTGTGGACAAAACAAAATTTTATCGATTTTTCCCGTGTTTTCCTTCTTGATCATAGATGCCGATCATTAAGTTGCAATCCTCAGACGGTGAAATTTTCGAGACAGACGTGCAAATCGCCAAGTGCTCGGGCACCATCAAAACCATGTTGGAAGATTGCGGTATGGACGAGGAAGAAGAAGCCGTTGTACCGTTGCCAAGTAAATATATGAGTTTGATTAGAAATTAATTTAATTTCTTTTATTGCAATTTTAATTAATAATAAAAAAAAATATCAATTGAATCTTCTTTATTAGATGTTAATTCGGCCATTTTGCGTCGCGTTTTGCAATGGGCCAACTACCACAAAGACGATCCCGTTCCAACTGATGACGATGAAAACAAGGAAAAGCGCACCGATGACATCTCCTCATGGGACGCCGACTTCTTGAAAGTTGATCAAGGTAAGCTAATGCAAAAAAAAAATGCGACGCATTTTTCCAGTAAGCCGGTGAATTTTGTTGTTGTCATTTTTTGCATTTGAAAAAATTCTCCGTTTGTAAATTTAAAGAAAATTAATCCATTGGTTGGAAATGAAGTGTTTTTTCGGACAATTTATTTTCTGTGTGTTCTCGACCAATCATTAATTCCCGTATGTTTCATTCGGTTGCAGGTACGTTGTTCGAGCTCATTTTGGCCGCTAACTACTTGGACACCAAAGGCTTGTTGGATGTCACATGCAAAACAGTCGCAAACATGATCAAGGGCAAGTCACCAGAAGAAATTCGCAAGACATTCAACATCAAGAATGACTTCACACCAGCCGAAGAAGATCAGGTTCGCAAAGAGAACGAGTGGTGCGAGGAAAAATAGACGCAACACAACACATACACATCGCGACTATGAAAAACTAACAGTAACAACAACAACAACAAAAACAAAAAAGTTTAATTTAAACTTCACGTTTCTTTTTCATTTCTATTGATTAAAAGTTAGATTTAATAAAACAAAAATCAGTTTAGGATCCTCATAACTACACGTTTAACCTAACAAGTTAAAATGATAATTACAATGTGTTTCGGGTGACACACACTTCAGTTCACCATTTTCAAAATTTTCTGTAAACAAATTTATTCTTGCGATCGCTTGAAATAATAAATTGAATAAGTAACACAAATACAACGAGTGGATGTTATTCTTCTTCTTTCTTGAAAATGATGAGAATCGGAATATAATTCATACGATTGAAGTGGAGTTGATGCATTTTGTTTGGATCAAATGTTGCTGATGTTGGTTTATTTTGTGCTGAGAAATCAAAACAACACCGTTTAGTTTGTTCTGAAATTCAAGACCCCTAACTGTACGACTTTACAAAGTGATTTTGTTGCACTTTGCCTCTTTGAAAAGAAAAAAAATAGTATAGCCGAGATTGTCACTAGACCGAACGAGGATAAGAAAGAGAAAGAGAACAAAGGATGGAAAGAAGAAGAAGAAGAAGAGAGAGAGATAGAGGAAAAAATACTTTTCGCTCCCAAGCCGGTATTGGTATGAATTTGCATTTGAAACAACGTTGTGATGAAGAACAGAGAAGGGAAAAAATATTAGCAATGTGCACCAATCGATACAGTTATCGAGAAACACAACTGCTCATCTCTTCTCTCTTTTACTACGTGCCATAAAAAAATTACGACGCATATACGTTTGGCGGCAAACGAATTGCTTATGATTTTGACACTTGTCGTTTCTGTTTGAAACCAAACATTCAAAGGTCACTTTTGCTCGTTTTTTTCTTTTGCAAACGACTACCTCTTATTTTATTGGGACTTTCTTTTTTTAGCATCATCATTTAAGAAGAGGTAAAGAGAAAACTCAGACAAAAATGAGCTTAACCTCCCAAAAATTCATTAGGGGAAAACAACCATTCCGAATAAGTCTTGCTAATGATTTTCTGTGAACTGAATATTCTACGTCTGAAATGTTCTTATCTTTTCAAAAAGCATGTCTTTATATTCTCAAGTGAATAGAGTGTTTGATTTGAACGCTTTGTATGTGTCACTCGCCTGAATCAACATGGACAAGTTACAATGTATTCTCCGAAGCAATAAATTTTCGACACTCAGCGCCCAATTTTTCAGTCTTGTTTTCTGATTTCATAACAAATCAACTACCAAAAGGAAGAAATATCAGAAGAATTTGAAGGAAACAAGTGAATTTCGTCATATGACGATAAGTAGCCGGTTGACAGTACAAATCGATATCATCATGTTCGCTATGTTCTATTTATGGTTGACAACCAACCATTGGACGTACAGAACCGGCAACATGGATTGATACTACAATTTTTTTTATCATATACACTATGAATTCCGACAGAATTAAACCATTTCATTCGCAATATTGTGTAATTGAACAATAGTATCGTAAGTGTTCATAAATTGCACGTTTAATCCATTTTGATTATAGATTTATAATTGTTAATCACAGCAGACACAGTAAAATTTTATGACATAATGAATGAGCAGATAAAAGGGTATATTTGTACTTATCAAAATAACTCAATAGCCACTATTGTTTTGTCCATTCGGACATGAATAAACGTTGACCAAATATTTATAAAAGTTTTGTGATGCTATTGAGTTACATGCATATAAAAAACCACTTTAATTGCCACCGGAAAACAAACGAAATGATTCAACAAAATTTGTTTTGACATTTCGTATACAAGTTGGGCCACCCGAATTCAAAGCAATGTGAAGCGTATTCGATGTCAAAAATCACATAAAACATATGAATCAAGTCGACGTGCGTGAAAAACTGGTTTCGATCACATGAAAATCCAAAAAATGTCTGGCTGTTTACTGTTATTCAGCAGCACAATGTGGTTTCGTTTTAGTGTCAAAAAGACGTCTTTATTGTCTATGGTCCGGTTCTAAATTGGTTTCTGATTTGTATTTGATCGAGTTTTTTTCTTGATTTTTTTGTTTTTTCCACACTTTCTTTGCCGAAAAAACAAATTCTTCTTTTCCGCGAAGAAAAAAACGGTATCCGAATGGAATGCAGAAAAAAAATGCAGAAACCCAAAAACGCAGAAAAAAATTTTGCAGAAAAAAAAATTGCAGAAAGAAAAAATGCAGAAAAACAAAATGCAGAAATCCAAAAACGCAGAAAGGAAAAATGCAGAAAAAAATTTGCAGAAAAGAAAAAATGCAGAAAACCAAAAACGCAGAAAAATTGAAAAAATACGATTTTTTCGAAAATTTGTTGACCACAACAGATTTCACAGTCCGACGCGTGTTTTTTTAATCTGGCACATCAGCCGAATAAGTGCCAGGCAATAGTTTAGGCCACCCGGAGCTCATAATGGGCCATGGTTTTGGGTAAAGGTGCTTCTGCCGGGAATTAATGACCTTAGGCGTTCCCAAATTTCAGGAAGAACGAATTTCTTGATGAAACTTAGTTTTTACACCAGTACTTCGGTAATTATTGGTTTTTTACCTATCTATTCAAGAAGTAATTTGTTCAGATGATCACGCAGAAGCGATTCTGTACTCTCAAAGCTACAATATGTTTCAGAAAATGGGTTGAAATGGGTAAATTTCGTGAAAAATGAGGAAAAATGATCAAAGTTAGTTACTGTAGTATTAACCCCATACTTCGTTTTGGTGAGTTGGTGGATTCAGTGGAAAAAAAATGTTTTCCAATTTTTTTTGTCAGTGGTGTTAGAAAAGTGGTCGGAAACGGCCTCTTACGACGTTTTTGTCTTGGACAACTAGGGTTTTGTATGCCAAAAATGTGATTTTGTATCAATCTTTCAATTGATCGATAGTTTTATGAAGAAATGTCGATTTGAGACCAAATTTGTAGGAAAACCAGTGTTCAAGTGTTCAGGGACCCATTTTTTTTGTTTTCACCAAAACGAAGTATGAGGTTAATATCGGCTCGCCAGCAACGAAAATCTGAGATTCATGTGTTGAACCGTACATTTCAAAAGTTGTAAATGTTACTACAGTAACTAATTTTGACCATTTTTCCTCTTTTTCCACGAAATTTACCCATTTCAACCCATTTTCTGAAACATATTGTAGCTTTGAGAGTACAGAATCGCTTCTGCGTGATCATCTGAACAAATTACTTCTTGAATAGATAGGTAAAAAACCAATAATTACCGAAGTACTGGTGTAAAAACTAAGTTTCATCAAGAAATTCGTTCTTCCTGAAATGTGGGAACGCCTAAGGTCATTAATTCCCGGCAGAAGCACCTTTACCCAAAACCATGGCCCATTATGAGCTCCGGGCGGCCTAAACTATTGCCTGGCACTTGATAATCACTGTACATCCGGCTGATGTGCCAGATTAAAAAAACACGCGTCGGACTGTGAAATCTGTTGTGGTCAACAAATTTTCGAAAAAATCGTATTTTTTCAATTTTTCTGCGTTTTTGTTTTTCTGCATTTTTTCTTTTCTGCAAATTTTTTTTCTGCATTTTTTCTTTCTGCGTTTTTGGATTTCTGCATTTTGTTTTTCTGCATTTTTTCTTTCTGCAAATTTTTTTTCTGCATTTTTTCTTTCTGCGTTTTTGGGTTTCTGCAATTTTTTTTTCTGCATTCGATACCGGATTCGAAAAAAACATACAATCGAATAATTTCACACGTAATATGTTTCAAAATTGGGTGATCTGTTAGTTATGGCTTGGGCTTATACGCATTTTAATCAAGATTTATCCCAATTTATGCGTAGAAAACTGGGAGAAATGGAATTTTGGGCGAGTATAAAAGCTGGATTGAAATGTGCGCTGTCTTCAGACGGTGGATTGACTCTCGAATGGATAAAAGTCGCGATGCTTAAGGTGTGTGTTGAAAATTAGACAGTATATGATCGATACCATAGAATTGCTGTTTTAGCCACAATGTTCTACGCAAGATATTGGATTGTAGCAGTGCTAGTGTGCATAGTTTTTGTGTCAGGTAACAAAGAATCGCTGATTTTGGTCTAAATTGCCGATTTTCGTGTGAAGTGATCAAGTTGAATAACATTATGTGTTTTTCTTGTGAAACAATTTATGCTATAGATTTGGATGCAAAACGTATGTCACTCGAGGAGGATCTAACGGTTTTGATCGACTATGAACGGTACCAAGATCACGTTCAATCTCAACGAGTTCAAAGGGAAGTGGCCATATCAAATGATACCCAGTCATTTAATCCAAAATCATCATTTCCAGTGCCATATCCGTTCCAAAAGTCAGAGCAAAAGCGCGTAAAAAATTCACATTACCATTCGAATGAATGTGACGACGACGATGATGGTATTGAAAAAAACATTATAGCTCCAATCCATTGTACAGAAAATAATATTTGTTCTAATTGACAGAGTGTGAAATCAAAGTCTGTGATGATCCAGTAAACGAAGTGTACCAAAAGTGTGGCGGTAAATGTGTGCTTGGCTGTCGATATGCCGCAACGTCATCGGGCGTTAGTATTACAATTTCAAAGCATGATTGTGAAAAAAATGACTGTGTCGAAGGTTGTTTCTGTAAAACGGGCCTAGTGAGGTAAAGAAGAATCGCTGATTTTTTTGTGCTGTTGAATTGAATAACCCTAAATTGACTGTTTGTTTTTTTCTTCAAATCAATTTATTTAGACATCAAACCAAGTGTATTGCCGTATCAGAATGTCCGGTACGAAAGTGTAATCATCGTTATGAAGTTTATGTGAGTAGGTTCTTTTTGAATCAATCGTTCAATCAGATCGAATGAAATTTCGTAACGAAAGAGTTTTTTCTTCCAATTCGCATAGATGTGTGGACCAGCAGCACCAATAACGTGTGATAATGCCTTACGTGAAGTTGAAATTGTCCATCTTACGAAACATGTAGAATGTGTTTGGGGCTGTTTCTGCGCAAAGGGATACCTGAGAAATAATTACAATGGCAAATGTGTGCCCGAACAAGAGTGTCGCAACACTAAATCAGTCGATATTTCACCACAAATCCCTGGTTTATTCAAACATCTCACGGGCTGTGGCTCAAAGGGCTGCGGGACGAATAATCATCATGAATCTGGTTGTGGCCATAAGGGATGCGGATCAAATCATGTTCACGAGACTGGCTGTGGATCGAAAGGATGCAACAATGAAGGTTGGCAAAAAATCGATTTTTTTTCGCCTATTCTACTCCGCCGCACACTCAATGTGTGAATTTTATTTTAGTCGTAGAAAACTTCAAATTCTACTCAATTTTCGCATAAATTTGTATCATTTCCCGATTTCACAAGCCACAATGTGTGTCGAGTTAGAACACGCGCTATTTTGCTTAAATGGTAATTTATTTATTGTTTTGATGTTGACGTTGATGTTGAATTGTGTTTTTTTTTGAAGTTTATTTAAATGGTAATTCATTATTTGGCCAGTCAAAGAAGAAGGAAATGATCAATTTAATCCATTCGTTTGAAATTTTTTTTGAACAAAATACTCTTTTTTTTCATTGAGTTGCTTTTATGTTATTCTATCGGTTTTTTTTTCTATTCGTCAAAGGTGGGCATCATCAACACACGGGAGCTGGAGATTCCGATTCTGATTCTGATTCAGTAGAATATGATAACGGTAATAAACCATTTAAATGGAAATATATAAATCTAAATTATTGACTACATTTGGTCATTGTCATTCGCCACATGGAATATTACAAAAAGACATGATTCTTTTTCTATGAATAGGCTTGAAATTAGTCAAAATTCTGTACTGCTCTCTCTTCAAATTATGTTGGCTTTCTTTTTTTCTTCGAAAAATTTGCAATAAAAAATATTATATTGTTTCAGGTCATTTGGACAATGGTCATGAATGGGCAGGTTTTCAAGGTAATAATTCGAACATTTTTAAGGTGTTCTGAAATATTGATATATCACACATACAGTATTGTACCTAAATACAATGGAATAAAATGCTTGTGTAAAAATCTAAAATTTAGGCCCAGTAATTCATGTTCATAAATGGAATGATACGGGCAAATTACAACTTTCCGGTGCAACCATAAATGGAACGTGTATTGGAACTAATGCCTGCTCAGGAGAATTTTCTGGACTTAATAATCACGCACCGGGATCAGTTAGTTCGGGTATAAATTCTCGTTTTTTGCATTTTTTATTGAAATTTATTTATTCAAAAAAAAAAAAAAAATCCGAAAAACGAACCAAGAAAACAAGAAAAAAAAATACTGACTGGATAAGGCGAAGAAAAATATAAAAAATGAGATTAAGTGCAAAAAAAAAAATTAATTTTTCTTCTGTTTAGGCACACCGTTGACAACAGTACCACTCGCAAACGGAACGACGATTACAACGCCGGTCGAGACTGGTGGTACAATTGATATTGAATCTGGAACGATCAACACAGGAACAACATTGGGCGATGAATACGATGAAATGGAGAGTGAAGAAGCCGTTGAAACTGACGCGCCACAAGTTAATGTACCGATGAAAACACCAATGGCAAATAGGACAGAAATTCCAAGCGGCATAACACCACCAAAAGGTGTCGAGAATAAAAAACCACAGTTGCTAGTACAGGCACCAGTTCAAACTGCTGTATATATGGCCAATAATAAGCCTCAAGTGCCTTTGCAAATACCAATAGCAGTGACATCGCCAGTAAAACCTATAAATGGAAATCTACAGGGAAATCAAAAACCAAACTCAATGAATGAAAACGAAGCTCAACCAACGTACACACCTCCAGCCAATGGCAATAATATCGGTCAGCGGCCACAATTTTCATTTTCTCCATACGTTCCGAATAATAACTTTGCAAATCAACAAACTCCAAACAATGGCATCCATACTCCGTTCATAATAAACCCATTCGTTCCGTTCAACAAGTATCCAGCCAATCCAAATTTCGGTTTTAATCCAAATACTGCTACGAATAGTGCTCCAAATACCACTCCAAATGCAGTCCAACATACGGCCCCAAATACTGCTCCGAATGTGCGACCATTCGCTGCACCATTTTTCGGTACGGCCCAGCCCCAATTTGTGCCACAAAACTTCTATAATAGGCCGATCGTTACTGCGCACACCCAAAAAGGAAATGTACCGAATAAAGGCAACAGTGAAGCTGAAGACAGTTCAAGCGAAGAAACAGAAGACGATGATGATGATGAATCGAAATCCGAAGAATATGAATCAAATTCATCAGAAGAGTCACACCAACAAAAACCGCAGACAATTCCTCCAAAGAAAAAGGAAAATGTGCCCGCAAACACTGGTGCTTCAGGGAACAAGGTGCCACCACATTATCAAGCATATTTCGACTTTTTGAATCAATTCGCAATGAACCAAGGGAATCCGAGTCAAGGGAATCCGAGTCAAGTGAATCCAAACCGCATGAATCCAAATCAGTTCATACCAAGCCAAGCAAGCCATGGTGTGAATCCCAGTCAACCTAATCCGAATCAATTCCTATCTCAATTCCATCAGAACCAATTCAATCCAAATCAATTGAATTTGCAACCCATCTCGAATCAGTACTACCCAAACAACTTCAATGCACCAAACACAAATGGTTTCCCGCATCAGTCGCCTCAGTTCACGGTACCAAATCCACAATTCACTCAATTCACTCAATACAATCAATACAACCCGTACAATAACCCATTCAGCACTGAAAGCGTGAACGCTTTTCTCAATCAGGCCAATGCCAACATCGGTAACTTTTTTAAACCAGGCAATCCCAATCCACCACCAAATCGACAAATCATAAATAAACCGAGTCGAAAGCACCAAACTGAGCCAACGACCAATCAATATTATACATACAATAGAAAGCATCGACCAAATACCGATAAAAAGGAAGCTGAAGTGACAGCGAGACCACAAAATAAACCGCAAAACAGCCCCTTCAATCAGAAACCAAACGTTTCATATGAAAATAATAAAAAGAGCGAAGAAGTACCATATTGAAGATTAGAATAATTTGAATTCGGATGAAAGAAATGCTTTCAGAGATAATATTTATGAGTTTATTGAACGAAATTATTTATTATTTTGGCATTGTGCTTGAAAAAAACTGTTAGAAATAGAATGAAATGAAATAAACACAAGGAAAAAATAACAGTTGGAGTTTTATCACATTCATTCTTCAAATTTTTTAGCTTTTTCTATTTTATTTGAATTGCGGCTAGGTGAGTCACATCTCTTTTCTTCTGCTGAGAAAGAAACAGTTTTCTGTTGAAATAAATGCCACCTTAAGAGAAGTCGTAGTTCGGCTGACGAAAAATATCATTGATTTTGCGAAAAGAAGCTCATCACTTTAATCCAGAACTTAAGAATCGCATTGAGCGGACGCTGCGAGTAGCGCACACACTCACTTGAATGAAAGACGATAAATTTGTGTGCGTTGCTCGACTCACGAAAATGAGTTTTCATACGCACAGTACGTTATACGCACACCGCACACTATGTTCTGCTTCTTCTTCTTCTTCATTTTGTTCGTTTTTTTTGCTACTAATTTAATAAAATGAACGATGAAAAAATGTATTTTTGTGAACTGGAAATTTGATAAATTCATGAAACATGCATTATTTTAAGAAATTTTTAGAGCTGCCCATTTTCAAGAAAATTTAAGTAAAACACTGTCCATTTTTGAGTTTTGAGCTGCCCATTTGGGATTTAGAACTGCCCAAATGGGAAAGAGCTGCCCATTAAAATAATGCATGCTATGAAATCTAACACATAATTCTTTTCGACTTTTATCATTTTAGAACATTTAATAAATGTCATATTAACTAAATTTTATGATGTTATATCGAACGAATGATTTATGTTAGTAGAATATTACATATTTTACGCTCAAAATGGAATCCAGATAATCAAAACGGGTTCTTTTATGAAATGAATGGACCAAATTTTGCAGGTAGAGAGGTGAACATAAAATGTATTCAGTGAATTTTTTGCATAGAAATGAATGGATTAAAATCATCAAAGTGGCGATGATAATGCGAATAAATGAACATCAGTCTTCTGGTCAACGGCTTTGTAATACATTTGATGAATTAGAAGAGAGAAGAAGAAAAAAAACGTTATTTTTGCGTATGCAAAATCTTTCATCTGCGAATGTTTATAGGGCGAGACATAATTGAGCAATGTTTTTGTTCTTGTAATCCGGTGTCAACAATCCCATAGATTCGCACACTTAAAGATACACAATAAAAGAGATTATGGACTAAGAAAATATTGACTGCCATAATTTATATGATGTTCGATGTGAAGCAAGAGCGTTATAACGTGATAATGCAAATGGATTGAGCTTAATTTGGCCATTGACATGGATGAATCACGATGAAGTCTACGGTAGTGGTAGTATTATACAATTGATAAAATTGATTGTTTTGCATAGGGGATTGCACCCATTTGTGGGACACCGCCGTATTTTTGATTGGATGAATCGTCCAATGTGTGAGAATGGCGTACGAACGTTCATCACATCAAGAAAAAGACGTATTGTCCACACGTGGAAATCTATTGAACTAGTCTCTCTTAAGGTCATTATGACAAAATATTATTCATAAAAAATCACTTCATGTTTAGACACTTTTGAAGGGTTTTTAGTAAGTGTCCCCCATTCATTGGTACAACTTTTGGAATATTCAGATATTAAAATTTTACAAAATCGCCAAAAACTTCTTTTTAAAAAAATTCTGACTGAAAAATAATACATGTTATGGGCACACTCCAGCGAGTAAAATAAGCGGGATTTTTGCCCATTTCAGGCAGTTCTAAAGCGATTTTGGGCAGTTCAAAAACACCTTTTTCTTCGAAATTCGTGCAGTATAAAAATCCGAATTATGATTATTTTTTATATTCTTGACGATAATTTCAAAAATTTCGCGCTGCATGCACCTTGCTTTTAATATACACGTACTAATGAATTAACATGACATAAGATAATCAGATAATGCTGAATTGGAACAAATCGCAGAAGAAAATCATTTCAAACTTCATCGACTCCCAAAAATCTTCTCAATTCGATGGTGTGAATTTATTTTCATTTGCCCTTCTGAGAAGCATTCTGAGAAGCGTTGGTTCTGTACTTCAAGAGACACACAAAGGAGGCTGAGCCAAATGGATATCTCCGATATCTCCTTACGATCGAGAATTTAAAATTCGGAAAGAAGTCCTGCAATCACTCCGCGATTTTTTGGAAAACCGATTCGAGGCGGACGATACGTTTGTAAAATTGATTACACCGTTTATTAGATTTGATGCAAACACAGACATTGAAGCCATCCATGCAAAAATCGCATCAGACTTAAACTTACCTAGTTTGTCGCTTCAGTTTCAAGACATTACGAGTGTTCGGGAACTGTACAATGTCTTGAGTCTCTTGGAAACCATCGCCAAATTATGTGAATCAGTTGAAAGAAGAGACAATTTCAAGCGACTGATCACTGTGCTTGCCAGAATTACGGCATGTTACACCACACAGTTTGGATGTTGAACGCACCATAAGCCCGGATCACCGCTTAAAGAACAAACTTCGGACACGCATAAATTTGGAAACTGAGAATAAATATTTATTTATTTACTATAATTTGCCCGATCTTGCGAATGGGATCGATCCCGTGGCTGCGGCGAATTTATTCGTGACAGAGAAAAACCGCCGAGAATGTGATATTACGACTGCAGTCGGAAGCAAGTCAAGGGAACAACCATACTTCAAAGGAGTATTCCCTGAAGGAGAAAATCTTGTCGATCCCGATATGGTTGATGACGACGACGACGATAAGGAGGAAATGTCAACAACATTGTTTGAGTTTCAAGATCAATATTTCCACATGAAATCTAATTGATGTTCAATACGTGCAATCATATTTCCCAATGAACGGTTTTTCTTGAAAAACAATTTTTTGGGCAGTTCTCAATTTCTCTCATTTTACTCTCTGGTACGCTCCCCCTAGGAGTTAACCAGGGATATTTTATTGAAAAAATTTGTTTTTATCGCCCAATTTTAATGATATCCGTAAAAAATTGAAAAAAATCTGTGTATATTGAATTTTATAGTTTAATATCGACTAAAAACGTTTAATGTGCTGACGTCATTACCGATTCAAAAATGCTGGAAGTGGGTTTTGGTGGATCCTCAGGATCGTTTAGTACTGCTCCCGGTTCTGGAAGTGGATCCTCAGGATGGACCAGGGAATTGTCAAACCCAGTCTGGTCCATCCTGAAAATCCACCAAAATCCAATTCCAGAATCGGGAGCAGTTCTGAACGATCCTGAGGATGCACCAAAACCCGCTTCTAGAACATTATGCATTCGTTAAAGCGAAAAAATTACTGCAAAAATCGGGCAAAATCGACTAAAATGTGATCATATCGGAATTTATTTCTTTAAATGATAAAAAATGTTAAAGTCGGTCATTATTGGTTATTTTTAAAACCGTGGTTAGCCCCTAGCGCTCCCCTATTGAATTATTTCGCTCCTTTTTAAAAAATCATAAACAAAGGCAAATCAAAAAAAGCACATGCATACATATTCAAATTATCGTTTGCATTTTGCTGTTTCTATTTTCTGCAAAAATTCTGTTATTATTTATATGTATTTTTATTGTGTACTAATTCATTTCAACGAAATTTTTATTAAAAGTGTAGCATCAAGCCGGATGAATGGGACAAGAATTCTCTATGGCAAGATATAAAAGCGAAATTTCAGGTAACGTCGTAATCAGTCGGTGAAGTGCTTTCGAATGAACGATCAATCGACGTTTTCAATATGTTTGCGTTTAGGTACAAAACGAATTTGCGAATGGCAATCATTTTGTGTATATTTTTAGTGGCAGGTAAATGAAGTTGCATTCAAATTGTGTTTAGTTTTGATGAAAAGTGCCTAGAAATTGTTGATATCCCAAAATCGATTGTGCTTTTAGGTTTTCAAGCTGAAAATGTGGACCTTGAAGATGAATCAACGGTTTTGATCGATACAGATAAATTCCTAACAATTTTCAAAGGCTCAAATCAAACAAGTGATTGTGCGGAGAATGAAGTGTATCACGAGTGTGGCCAGAAATGTATTTTGAGTTGTCGGTTCGCAACATCAGCATTGGGAATTACGCGTTCAAAAGAAGAATGCGAACAAAGTGAGTGTGTCAAAGGATGCTTCTGTAAAGATGGCTTCGCACGACATGGAGATAAATGTATCGCGGTTGCTGAGTGTTCAGCTCGAAAAGAGAGAAGCAACAAAATGCTCAAAACTCAAGCGAATCAGCAATTTTCGCCATTTGGCCAACCTTTTGGACAACAATTTTTACAACAGTTTGGACGACAATTTAGACCACAAAGCAAAATGGTTGAACCTCATACGAATGAGCAATTTGTATCCATTGGTCAACAAGCTGGGCAACAACAATTCCAACCGTTGGGAATATTTAAGCACATTTTCCGACCAGGTTGTGGATTAGGTGGTTGTTTACCGCCTCCCGCACCTTCTAGTATTCACATTCACAATCATAATGAAGCAATAAAAGGTGAGTAATTTACGTCATTTGCTAGAAACAAAAGGAATCAATGGAAAAAATGAAAACATATTAATTCAATTGATTTCATTCAAAGAAGACGAAGATGACGAAGAGGATAAATGTCGAGGAGGTCATTGCGGTAAGAGTTTAGTATCAAGAATGCTTTGTCACGAGCGAATTTGTAATTAAAAAAGAATGTCTTTTCACATGTAATAGGAGGAAGCTCCCATCACCACTACGATTCTTCATCCGGATTATCCGAAGAACATCACCATCACTACGATTCTTCATCCGGATCATCCGAAGAACATCACCATCACTACGATTCTTCATCCGGATCATCCGAAGAACATCACCACCACCATCATCATCACCACGGTTCATCATCCGAAGAATACCATCATGGACACGGGTACAGATTTTTGCTTTTTCCGTATCTTGATCGAGTGAATGTGTTATTATCCTCGAAATTTCTTAAATAATAACACAACTCTATTAATATACGGAGAAGTCAAGTTATTTTGAAGTTATGTTTAATGATTATAATCACATGTTGATTCATTATTGTTCATAAAATTGTATTAATCTCTAGACACGGA